TCTAAGGATAACATCATTGGGAATCAACAGAAGTCTAGTTGCTTTTGGAAGAGGGTGGGGGAGTATTATGCAGCTTTTCCCACTTCCACATAGAGCGGTCAACAGGCCCTGAAGGTAAACTGTAAGCGGAGGTGGCATAAGCTAAATGACTTTGTAAACAAGTTATGTGGGGCATATGCAACTGCTGAGAGGCAAAACAGTTCAGGACATTCACAGAATGATATCCTTAAGGTGGCCCATGAGATATATCATTCTGACCACAAGTAAAAGTTCACAATGGAACATTGTTGGTGTATGCTCAGGTTTGAACAGAAGTGGCTGTCTCTAAACACTATCAACACTACCAAACCTAAAGGGACAACAAAGAGGAAGCCAGTTGAAGAAGCATCACAATCCGCAACAAGCAATGTTCAAGTCTGTGATGAAAGACCTGAAGGTGTGAAGGCTGCAAAGGCCAAAAGGAGTAGTGCTCAAGGGAAGGCTCTAGCTGATTATAAGAGCATGTGGGAAATCACGAAAGAGGAGATGGCTGAAACTGAAAAACTTCAAAAGCTTGCTATCTTAGAGACACTTCTTGCTAAAAAGGATCCTCTTAGTGTAGCTGATCAAGCTATCAAGGAAAAAATAGTGTCTCAGTATTTCTGAGACTTTATGTTTTAGTATTCTTTTTATGTTTGTTTCATTACTCGGCTTTTGAACTGTTAGATATATTTGGTTGTTTTGGTTATATTTTGATTATTGTATGATAATTTATGTTTCCTTTTGGCTTTTGAAATGTAATCGGCTATTGTGTCACATGTTATATGTATATATGCTTTTTTCAACTTATTCATTGTTTTGATTCTTATGCTTGTATCATGTCTCATTGTTTTGATTCTTGTAGCATGTCTGATTGTATACAAGTGTAACTGTGCTTATTCATTGTTTTCATTTGTGTAGCATGTTTGATTGTATACAAGTGTAACTGTGCTTATTCATTGTTTTCATTCTTGTAACATGTCTGATTGTATACAAGTGTAACTGTGCTTATTCATTGTTTTCATTCTTATGCTTGTATCATGTCTCATTGATTTCATTATAAACTGTCCTTATGCTTTGATGGATTCTTGTCTCATTTATGCTTTATCTAATGTTATCTTTGTTGCTGTATTCTGAGGTTTTAACCAGATGGGGCATGACTACAGCTACTCTCAGCCATCATCATCAGACCGATATGAGCTTAATGACGACAGTGAAGACAGGGAAAGAGAAGGCTTGATTCGTATGGATGAAGCTGAGAGTCGATTGATCAATGCTCGTGCTCATCTAATGGATGAAGTGGAGAATCAATTCATGATTGCTGAGAACAATCAATACCCACCTCAACCTGAGGTGGAGTTTGGCATTCCTAGGATGTGCTAATGTGGTGCTTGCCTTGTAGTCTCTACTTCCAACATCATGAATGATATAGGGAGAAGGTATGTTTTGCATATTTGGTAACATTGACTGTCTCGGTTGTGTCTGTTGCATTTGACTGATGAAGTCTTCATTCAATTTTTCGGTTGTGGCAGGTTCTTCACATGTCCAAATGTTGAAGATGGAGAAATGCACATTCATAAGTGGTGGGATTTGGCAATTATGGAGGAGATGAGAGACTTGGAGAGACAGTTTCATGTGTTGTCTGATAAGGTAGAAGGCTTTCCCAGCCTCACTAACTATGAAACCGACCAAAAACTACATAACTTAGAAATGTTAGTGTGTGATCTAGGGAAGAAAAATCTAAGGTTTAGGAGAGTATTGAGTTGGTTGTTGGGATAATGTCTGTATCAGTAATAGTTTGTGCTGTGTTGGTAATGTTAAAGTAATAGATTTCAGTCTTGTAATCACATACTCATTCACGGGTTTGTATTATTTCATTTCCCTGATTATAAAGTCGAGTGTGTTGTTCACGGGTTTGTAATATTTCCAACAATTCATGTCAAGTCAAGTATGTTGTTCATGGGTGGCTTCAAACTATAATGATTGGTCACGGATGTTTGGGAAATATATGTCTTCATCTCATTTTTTTGTTTTCACTCGATACTTTACTACTATACAACATCACGGATCTTCTTTCGCACATCAAAGATAAATAATTGAGAAGAGAATACCAAGTTCTATATAAATTGCAACAATCGGTTAGCAAATGGAACCATAGAAACACATCTCCTTCTCACATTTGTCTTCAGTATTTCTATCTCACTTTCACATTTTTTTGCATAAATCTATCTCACTTTCTCACATTTCTATCTCACTTCTCACTTTTCTATCTCACTTTCTATCATTTCTTTTCAATTAATCTATCTCAAGACTAATATTTCTATCTCACTTTCTCATTTATTTTTGCTAAACCATGGCATCATCTTCAAATCATTTTCACTACCAAAGAGATGAGGATGATCCATTTGATGCGTATTATCAAAATTTTCAACTGAATTATAATCTCTTGGAGGAACCGACCGAGCCAAAGAAACGAGTTTTTATCCAAAGAAACCGTGAAGAAGGCCACAATAATCTTTGGAATGATTATTTTAGTGACACTCCAACATACCCGCACAATTTATTCCGGCGACGTTTTCGAATGAACAAGCCATTGTTTATGCGTATTGTGCAACGTCTATCAACCGAAATCCAATATTTCCAACAAACCCAGGATGCAGCCGGACGGGCTAGTCTTTCACCGATACAAAAATTCACTGCAGCAATTCGTCAATTGGCATATGGGGGTACATGTGACACGGTCGACGAGTATGAACGAATTGGTTCCTCCACAGCTCGAAAATGTTTGCACGAGTTTACTGCTGCAATTAGCCAATTGTTTGGCGATGAATACTTATGACGTCCCACACAGGAAGACCTGCAAAGACTACTCTATCAAAATGAACTACGGGGATTTCCCGGTATGGTTGGGAGCATTGACTGTATGCATTGGGGCTGGAAAAACTGTCCCACAGCTTGGAAGGGCATGTATTCACGATCAACCGGAAAACCTACAATCGTGTTGGAAGCGGTAGCTTCGTATGAACTTTAGATTTGGCATGCATTTTTTAGAGCTCCAGGTATTATGAACGACCTTAATATTCTAGATCGATCTAATGTTTTTGATGAGATTATAAATGGTCAAGCTCCGGAAGTCAACTTCTTTGTCAACAGAATGGAGTATAATTTGGCGTACTATCTCACTGATGGTATTTATCCGAAATAGGCCACTTTTATTCAATCTATCCGACTTCCATAAGGTATGAAAAAATCACTCTTCTCTAAAAAACAAGAAGTTGTGCGGAAAGTTGTGGAGCGTGCCTTTGGAGTCTTGCAAACTAGGTTTGCCGTTATAAAAAATCCTTCTCCTTTATGGGATGAAAACAAAATGGCAAATGTTATGAGGGCATGCATAATACTCCATAATATGATTGTGGAAGATGAACGACATACATACAATCTCCATAACATTTCAGAATTTCAACACGGAGAATATGTCGATCAAACATATACCGATGGTACCGCCAGTGTGGGTTCAAATATAGGCACAACAATTACTCATCGAACACGAGTTCGGGATAAACAAGCTCATGAACAATTAAAAAATTATTTGATAGAGCATATTTGGACTAATTTTGGACATCTTCAAGATAATGAAGATTAAGTTTTACATTTCTATAAATTCAATAAAATGTAGTTTTAATCTTTGTATGGTTTGTGTTTTATATTTATAATGTGTTATTGTATTTTTTCCATCTTAATCCTTTTTTGTACTTTTGTAATTTTATAATGTTTAATATTAATCAATAGTTAATATGTTTGTACTTATTAATTAAAATTAATTATTTTAATTAACTGAAAATATGTTTATTATAATATTGGGACAAAAAGTTATATACACCAATGCTCATGGACCAAAATTAATTATTTGTCCTACATCATAAATACTATAAAAATAATATTGGAACCAAATAATTGTATATACCAATGTGCATGCCAGAAGCCCATATTAAAGCCCGAATTATCCGAAACTATGTCGAAGTTAAATTAGTTACAAAGACATATAATTGGATGAATATGTCATAGAGACATTATATATATATATATATATATATTGTGATAAACATCATACTTTAACAATATAGTATAGTATAGCATATTTTAGAAATGTTTTAGTGGTAAAACATATAGTAAATGTTTTCACGGTTGTAATAAAGACCACGATTTGATGAATGTTTTACATCCAAAATATTTTGTAAAGAAGTTGTGAATTCATATTTTATAAGAATTTTTAAAATCACGTGAATCAGTTAGAAATAGTAAAAATAACACTTTATAATTTAGTTTGTTTAAGGAAAAAACTTTAATATAATTGTTTTACTAAATACAACAAAAATATGTTTTAATTTCATTAAAAATATAAACCCGCATATCGAACGAGTCCTAATCTAATATTCTATAACTCGAAAAGCATACTAAAATAATCATTAAATAATAATCCTCACCGAGTCTTTTATCAATTAACTAACCAAAAACGTTGGAGTAAAAAACCAAAAACGTTGTTGAAAAAAGCAAAGCAAAAAAATGTTATAATACAAAGATTTTTTTCAACCCTTCTCAACACTCGAGGAACGTCGTCTTCAACTTCTAGCCCTTGAACTTTGTGATCTCAACACTCGTGTGCATATCTGACTTTGACCACATCTAACAAAACGCATATATGTGTGTGTGCCCGTATGCAACTAGGCATATATAGTTTTAATGTTTTGATAAAAACGATAACCAAAAAAAAGAGACTTTGTTTTTCTCAAATCTTCCGTAGCTTCCTCTTGTTTTGTGGATCCTAGAACCCTTATCTTCCTCTTCATTCCCCGAAACACGCAAGTTTAGTTTTCTTCTTTAGAAATTTTGAATGAGAAGAAAGATTAATAAATGGATGACCAAATGTCTCTTATTTCATCATTACCATATTGGTTTTGATTCATACTTCTTTCTACTCAACAATGGAAACTTGTAGTAGCTTCAAGGATGGTTCGTCCGTTGCCTCTAGTCCGATTTCGTCTCCAAATATAAGTACCCTTTTGAAAATCAAAGTTCTTTCTTGGTATGTATCTCAACGTTATCATTCTTTAATGTTCTAATATCCAAGTCTGAATTATTCATGTTGTAGTCTTGTAGACTTATTATGTAATGTATCTGTGTGTGTTGGTCGCAGGAGTAAAGAGACCGGTCTACCTGCATCGGTACATGTTCGAGTTTGCAACAAGAGTTTTAACCTTCACAAGGTAATAATGTTAAATCAAACCTCTCAATGAATATTTTTTTGAAAAATTCTTTTGGATACCACATTTTAAAGTTTGTTTTTTCCAAAAATACCACAAAATTTTTATATTTCCAAAAAAAGCCATAAAAAGTAAATAAAAAATGGTTTTTGAATGTATAATTTATTTTTTGTTTGGGTTGATTATGTATATTTTGGGTATAGTTTTTTCGGGTAGGGTATATATGATTTTTGAATGTATAATTTTTTTTTTTTGTTTGGGTTGACTATGTATATTTCGAGTATAGTTTTTTGGGGTAGGGTATATGTTTAAGATTTACAATATTAGTTTTGAGTGTTAAAATATTTATTTCAGTAATTTTGTCGTTTTTTTAGAAAAAATGTATTTTAATTATTGGTATTTTTGGAAAATAAAACTTATAATGCCCATTGTAATTGTATTTAAGAAAATCCCACATATATTTTTTTTGTTTTAGTGTTCTAATGCCTAAAGTGTTTTTTTCTATGTTTTTGAAGACTCTCTTGTGTACAAAGAGCGGATATTTTAAGGAAAGAGAGGATCAAATATCAGAGATAGAGATACCACATGATTTTCCTGGTGGAGCAGAGACCTTTGAGAAGATTATGCTTTTCATCTATGGCTGTCCAACTTTAATACATCCTTTCAACATAGCTGGACTTAGATGTGCAGCTCAGTTTCTTGAAATGACAGAGCAACATTCAACGGGTAACCTCTGCGAAAGATTTGACTTATACCTGAACCAAGTTGTCTTACAGAACTGGGATGATACATTAGTTGTTCTGAAGAAATGTCAAGATCTATTGCCTTGGTCTGAAGACTTACTAATCGTAAGCCGGTGCATAGAGTCTCTTGCTTTCACGTCGTGTATGGAGATTCTTGATCCCGAAAGACGAAGAGAGAAGCCTGTGGTCATGCTTGAAGGTTTGGTTAATCAACCATGGGAATATACAACCGTCGAGATACTCATAAACCAAGATACTTGGATCAAAGACCTCACAGATCTTCCATTTGAGTTTTTCAGACAGGTTATTGGGTCGCTTAGAAGACAAGGAATGAAAGAAAGATATGTAAGTCCATTGATTGTCTTTTACGCCAACAAATGTTTTATACCTGAAGATCAAACTAATACTGTTATGCTTCAAAGAGCTCTGGATTTGCTTCTTACAAGAGACAAGGCATATAGGTTTGTTCCTGTTGGGTTTTATTTAGCGTGTCTCGCACACAATCTGAAGCATGAAACTGTATTAAAGCTGCAAGATCAGATTGTATCTCTTCTTCATACTGCCCATACCGAAAACTTTATTTACCCGAGAGCCGGGAACGGGAACGTTTCTTTCAGTCAGGAGTTGCTTACTATGGAAAACCTATTTTCAGCATATGTATCAACAAAATCAGAACATCATCTGACTTCCTCCTCAAGCAACGTGAGAGTTGGGAAATTGTGGGATATTTATCTCTCTCGTTTACCTTATAATCAAGATATGGAAACTAAAAGGTTCATTGAGCTCATTGAGACAGTCCCAATGTCATTCAGAGAGAGTCATGACCAACTCTACCTTGCAGTGAACGCATTTCTACAGGTATGCCTTCACTTTTTTTCTTCTTTCAAACTATATACAATTTAACCAAGATTGTACACTTATGTGGTGTGGCTCTTCTTTAGGTGCATAAGGACATAACTCAAGAAGAGAAAGGATCAATCTGTAGTTACCTAAATTGCCAAAAACTTTCAGAAGAAACATCCCTAGAACTTGTTCAAAACGAGACAATGCCATTACGTTTGGTTGTCCAAGCACTATTTGTTCAACAGCTCAACACACACCAAGCTTTCAAAGACTGCTCTGACTCATTCAGATTCACAAACTCCGCAGACTTCTCTGGTAGTGTTGTTCCAAGCTCAAGACCCTTAACCTCCCAACACAGCCCTTGCACTGATGATGAAACCGGGCCAAGAAGCAGACCCTTATGCTTCTTGATGCAAAAAGATGCAACATTAGATGAGTACGAGTCAACAAGCTTCAGAATCCATAACCTTGAAGAACAACTAGTTTCTTTAAAGAAGACCCTTCAGTCCCATAGCAACACAAAGAAACCAACTTGCCTTGGGAAAAGATCAGCGAGTCGAAACAAAAACACTTTTGGCCAAGTCACAACGGCTTGTATTGGCTCTGTAAGCTTTACTTCACAGAGAAAATATGCAAATAGGCTACTCCGGGTACTACGTAGAGTTAACTTGTTTGGAAGTAGAAAAACTAATACAAGTGAAAAATGAAACATGTATTAAAATAGTAAGTATAGTATACATGAATAATCACTTAATAATATAGTCTTTCAATTGTATTAAATGCAGTAATCAAATAGTTAATTAGATTATTTTTTTTCAGTATACCCAAAAGAGCAAAAAAGAAAATAGATTATTTCACAAAGATATCAACTGATGAAAAAGCATACAGCATACACTAGGGTGTACATTTATATTGTGTATGAGTATATATTTATATACACTTTCTCTACTGTGGTGGCTTTGTCACTGGGCTGCTACAAGCTTTTGGAACCTGAGTTCCCATTATCTTGGGAGACACGTTTGCGCATTGGAATGTTGCTGGACCGTCAGCTCCGGTGTATTTGATGTCAATGTTACCGAGTTCAACGTTCTGACAAGGGAATCCTTTGCTGCACAAAAGCTTCACTGCGTCTTTGTTCCCTGATGTTCCTCTAATGTTCTTGAAGCTTATGTTGGAAAGCTTGATCGTTGATGGTTTCTACATACAAAACAAAACAGTTAGTGTCTTGTAATCATTAGTTTTATCTCACACTTAAATATGTATACGTACCGCCTTGTTGCAGTGGTTCCATGGGCAGTACTCTTGGTCAATGAGGATAGGGTTGGTAACGTTCTTGAGGACAATGTTTTCGAAATGGATATCGGAGGCACTTGTGCTGCAAGCTGCAGAAGGCCATGTCTTGATCCTTATACCATTGTCAGTCTCTTGGAGGGTACAGTTAATGATCTTGATGCCCTTGACATCTTGCTCGTGTCCGTACCTTCCGAGACTTCCGACACTGATTCCATGTCCTGGACCGCAAGTAACTCTTTCGACAAGAAGGTTCTTCATGCCGTCTCCAACTGAGACACAGTCATCTCCTGTAGTAATGACTGAATTGATGATCTTGATTCCATCACTTCTTCCAACGTGGATACCGTCAGTGTTGGGACTCTCTGCAGGAGCTATGATCCTGACCTCTTCGAATGTCAAGTTCTTTGCACCAATCACGTTAATGTGGAAGTTCTTTGCATCTAAGGATGTTATTCCTCTAACCTTCCCGTCGGTGATGTAATCAAAACGGATACTCTGTTCAAACAATGACACCAAAACATCAGAAAACGAAAATTCTGGTTTCTGGTCTGAGAGGATGTATCGACCTAGACCTAAAACCTCTTAAAATAATTATATTAATAATAATAATAATCGCGGAATAAGGTGAGACGGTTTCCATACGATGGGGAGTTTCTTGCACTGTTCAGTCTTGTGGCAGTTATTGACCCTCCAAGCTGCATTACCTTCACCGTCGAAGACACCACCACCGTTCAATTTAAACCCATTAATGTTGCGGAAAGCGACCCATTTCTGGTTATGGACCGCGTTCCCGTCAGCTTTCAGGGTACCTTGAAGAGCAATCCTTATGGGAGCTTTGCATGGACCTAACATCTCGATTTCACCAAGTTTGTATTCACCTTTTGGGATCAGAACAGTGCTCTTGGTTGGGAATTGGCATGCCTCATTGAATGTTTTCAACAATGCCTACACAAAAGATTTTTTTAAATTGCTTAGAGAACAAGAAAACTGTCTTATCAATCTTTAAACAAAGAATGGTTTTTAGAACTTACCTTAGTGATATCAGAACCTGGTGGAGAGCCAATGTTGAATACCTTTGCATTAGCTGATAAACCTAACAAACAAAAAACAAAGAATGCGGATACTCCAAAATTTACACGACCCATATTTTTGGGACTAAGTAAAGCCACTAGTGATTACGTTTTTTTTTTTTTTTTTTTTTTTGTAATACACTAGTTTTGACTATTTATTGTTTGGAATTTTATTTATTATTTTTATTTTTCTTTTATGTTTTGATTCTTAGATTTTTGCTGCCATTATATAGTAATCTAGGAGGAAAGAGATTTAAACGTTCAATTTCTTCTCCACCGTTCACTTTTTGGTTTCACCGATAATATTGGGAAGCTTTAGAAAAGTTTCATTTTTAGAAAAGAAGACTTGTTCCAGTCGTGATGAGGCTAAATCCAAAATAATATAAGTGGACAAAAAATAATGTTCAGGATCGTAGTATTTTTGGGGTTGAGTACACTTAAAAATAGAGCTCCTAAAATTAAGTTTGTGTCCACTAATAGAGCTCCTCAAATTCTATGTATAGATGCTAATTACTACGAGTCTTCAGTCGAATCTCGTATGATTTATAGATAATATACGAATTTAAGGATCTAATCTTTTTGTATAATCTTAGAGTGATTTACCATATAAGCAACTTTTAAGTTACAATATTTGGTAGTAATCACTTTATAAGACACCCAAGTTTTTTCTACTATTATGTAAAAAAAGAGGACCATATTGCCTCAATAAAGTAGCAACAAAAGCACAACAAATGATATTTAGTTATGAGTTTTGTTAGGTTTTAGTTTTTAGGTTATCAGTTATCGGTTTTTGTTGATAAAAGTATATTCAGAGGTTATTAAAAAATTGTTATTGATTTTATTTTTATACAATAGATTATAACTACTGTTTTTTTCACTTTAAGATATATATTATTATATTTTATATCTATGCTTATCTAAATTATTGTTCATATTTTATTGTACATTTGTTGAAGATACAAAGGTTAAATGGACAGCCGAGTGTAGATACCCAAGTGTATTTCAAAAACAATAAAGAAGATGGAAGAAGTGTATGTTTGAGAAAGGTAGATGTCCATTGCATATAGTACATCATAGTCCAATTTTATGTGTACTTGTAATGGTGTGTTTGATCATAGTGTGCTTCTTAATGTTGGAGTGGGAAGAGGGGTGGCCAGTTTACCCGTCCAAGATAGAAATAAATGGACGACCGAATGTGGACAACTAAGTGTACATTATCCATGGTCCATTAGGATACATTATGGTTCATTAGACAGAAACCATTGTGGTGAACAAAAGTACATATATATGGACAGATCCAGATGAATATATTATGAGCTATTATAAAAGGGAGTCCATTATTCAATTCAATATAAGTTTATTATTACGTGTTCGATAAAAAGAGTCGTTAAGGATAGTATGTGTCCAAGAGTCATAGAACACAATGAGTATTCCAAATAGATAAGTCCATTAGGTAAGGCCCATTATTTTAATTTTGGAAATAGTTGTTGTGGTCAAATATATGGACATGTCCATATGGACGAGGTATAACATAACAAGTGTAACACAAAACCAAAAAAAGAACTGTGACATGAGTACTAATGACAAAGTTCACATAACAAAATTAACAATAACTCTTCACAAAAACAGTGACAGCAATTCTTCACTGAACAATATTAATTGTTAATATTGTCATTATTAAGTCTTTAATATATAAAAAAACATTTAATACATAAAGAAGAAGAAAATTATCATTGGTTTTGGAGCTTTACACAATAGATGAGTAGATGAGAATGGAAAGGAATAAGAAGAAGAATTAAAATCTGTGCAATTGTCATTTGGAATGTGTGAGAGAAAAAATTGTTGATTTGTTGCAAAATTAACAGCAAAGTTTTTAAAATAATGGAAAGTGAAAATGAGGAAGAAGAAGAAAAGGAAGGGGGGGGGGAGTGAGAGAGTTAGAGTACTTTAATTACATGGAAATTTAGTAATTACTAGGAAATTTAAAGGCCAATTGAGAACTATATTTTTCCTATATCACTACCAAATGAGAAAGTTACTCTACTTGCAATAACTTTTAAATAAGTGACTATCCATGCTATTATCTCATAATCTTATTGTCATGAAAAAGTTCATAATATGTTATTATTTAAAAATTTCGTTTCTCAATAACAACAACTCACATGATCACGACATGTGTTAAATCTATTGATTTTATGTTTATACATGTCTTATGTTTAAAATATTTTAATTTCTTTCTTTTACTTAACAAATTAAAATAGAATTTTTTTTTCTTAAAATTAATAAGTCCTATGACCATGTAGTGTTTTTGGTATGAAAATTTAACTCTTAACTATCTATTGAGATAAAACGCTTAAAATTAAAATTCATTTTTATGATGATGTTATAGATAATTAAATTATAGGATTAGCACTCGATGATCCAAAGCTTGACTCACCGAAGATATATATATATATATATATATATATATTTTATTTAACTTGAAGACATCTTGAAGTTACCTGAAATTATCTAACCATGTTACGCTTACATGCATATATCACTCCATAAGCATAATGGAGGTTCTTAACCTAAAATTTTGCAAAGAAAAACTTTTATATATAATTTTTTTTTGTAAAATCTTAGGTTAAGAGCCTTCCATATGAAAGAAGACCCAACGAAATCATAAACATGAAATTGACCAATAACAAACGATCAAAATGACTTGCCAAAAATACGCATATCTTTTCTGTTAAACAAAAATACAGAATTCACAATGATTTAGGTATACAAAAATCAATAAAATTTGAAAATATTGTTGTCCGTATATATGAATGTCTTAATGTATTATAAAATAGAAAAATCATGTCTCCAAAAATATTGTTTAAACCTTTTTTTTTTTATATTCATTAATAAAGCTTAGGTCCACTTCTATCTCTATTTTTTTTTGTTAAATGGTATCTTTATGTAGTTGGATATGTAATTATAATTTTTCTTAAATATCATTTTGTGCCCTTACTTTTGGAGACTTGGAGTTATAATTTTATTGAAGTATAGATCCTTATCCTTTCACACAAATGCAAATAAATAAAACCTTATACATGTGCTACTTCACATGATTTCGATTCTCACGAGATTTGGCTGAAGTTTTTACTTGGTTTCTCGTCTCGAATAAACTAAATTCGGATGAGTTTGCAAGCTTTGTATTATGCATTATCAATATCCGTTTAGGTTTGGATCAAAAAAGAAAATGCGAAAAAGAGAAATGGAAACTAAGACCAAGCTACTTACCTACTAACCTACTAATTACCTAGAAAAGTTTCCGCTCGGAAACTATCTTGGCCTCCGGAAACAAACTAACGATTTTAACTAAAGGTTTTTGTGACGTTTTGCTATGTTGAAAACTAATGAATAAACTCATCTATTATAGCTTCCTAAGGTTGGTAAAGAAACAGCTTACTCACCCTCGACATTTGTCTTACATCCAAGTCATGGACCTTTGCCATTCAACCTTGGCCATCTTAATTCTCTTATATGAAACCCCAGTTTGTGTAGAGGTTTAAATGAATTGATTTGGCCACATATGTCTACTCCAGAATTCCACAGTTAAGCGTGCTTATGCTGGAGTGGTCAAATGATAGGTGACCTTTCAGAAAATGGTTGTCGGAACTGTGTGAGTGGGGATAAGACACATGGAAAGATCGTGTGGTAATTTGTAGGGTCGGTAAACAAGTGTTTAAGCTTCCCGGACATAGCAAACCAGCTGTATGATATAGATGGGTTCATGGACCTAGTGAGAGGACATAAGACCTATTAAGAAATGTGGACTTATATGCTGAGAGTGAACATGAGACCCATTAGAGAGATGACGATCGGGGAGTTACAACTTCCCTAAAAAAACATATGGCATTCTACCTCACCAAGGTCTCTATCCAATTTGATTAGTGTAGAGTGAGCCAAATTACTTGTTCTTGACCAATTAAACCACTCCAAACTTATTTTAAGTCTAACACACACAATTCTATAACCATTACTCGCTGAAAGTCCCATCCTGACCAGTTTGATGTGCCATTGCCCAAAAATTAATAGACTCATGTTCTAATTTTTGTCAGTCCATGATTATTTAGTACGTCTTTAAAAGTAATGTGTTGACTGTTGAGGTTCAATTAGTTAAAATCAGACACATCACACATTCACTATTTATTTACGAAAGAGACATTCACACGTGTCCTCGACAATGAATACGTTGAGCTGTTGAGATGTCACAACTCACATAACTATGAAAAGACATTATTTTGTTGTATTCATTGAATCAATTTATTTCACAGATTACATATAAATTATTATAAAGATCCATTCGTGTGTGTGAACTATGTACTTATGTTTTGAATGATCCGGGAAAGAGTCAACTTTGATTTTGGACAATTTGTGCATGTCTCTTGGTCTCTAGCATTAGACATAAGACTTCTTCTAATGTTTTAAAGATTCAAATGAGCCACTAGAATTTGCATACAAGTAGAGAAACACATTAACTGCGATCACACCTAGAGATAACAATGTCTCTTTGTCTCATTTCCAAGCACACGAGGCTACCAAATCTCTATGCATCCAACCAAGATACAATGCTCCATCTCTTTCTTCTAGCCTGTACTTGTTCGAGTATGTCCTTAGCAGACTTTTTATGGTTGAATTCACAAGAGGACTCAACGGGTAAGGAGTGAAACCCGCCATCTCGAACCGTGACCTCCATTTCCCTAAGAGCTCGTGCCGCTCCACCCGATCAGCTCCTTCACATGCGATGATGTTCACGACATCTCTTGCTAGACAATGTTGTTCTACATTAATCCTCTGTTTATGATCTCTTGGGAGAGTTACATCAATTGACTCGAACATCGCGGCGTAGTAATTCATTGTTTCCATGAACCTTGGGAAGAAGGCGGCCGTGTTTGTGTTTGATTCTTGCTCCACAAGAGTCACCACCTTGGGAGATAAACTCTTCACCATTCTCAGTAACCGGTCCCTGGAAAATATACTCAACTTAGTCAAGGGACAAAGCAAAAGAATCATCCAACCTATGCTCAACCAAATCTCTATATATAAAAAAGCTGTACCGGTGATTCTCCGTGCTCACGCTTTCATCAGGCATATGATGAAGAACAAAGGC